GCAGGTGATATATCTAGGTGTTAGCTGACCCTAGAGGGAGTGTGGGCAGATATCAAAACATCAATAAAAAGACAGGAAATTAATACAAGGGACAATTTCAATAGGGTCTTATAAATCAGTGGGAGAAGTTTGCATTTTATTCTCCCTACAATGAAAAGCTATGAGCTATTGGAAGGAGAGTGTAAGAAAGGGAATGATATCACCTGACTTAAACTTGGAGAAAATCCCATCGCCTGTTGGAGACCAGACTGTGGGCAAAGGAACAGCCCAGTGAGAGGCAATTTGCTGAGCCTTAGTTTTGGAGGTAAAGATGGTAAAAGAGGGTTTCTTGGGCTTAAATTATTTTTTTTCTTTTTTTGAGACAGAATCTCACTATGTTACCCTCAGTAGAGTGCCATAGTGTCATGGCTCACAGCAACCTCAAACTCTTGGGCTTAAGCAATTCTTTTGCCTCAGCCTTCCAAGTAGCTGGGGCTACAGGCTCCTGCCACAATGCCTGGCTATTTGTTGTTGTTGCTGCTGCTGTCATTGTTGCTTGGCAGGCCCAGACTGGGTTCGAACCCTGGTTTATGTGGCTGACACCCCCACCCGATGAGCTACAGGTGCCAAGCCATGGGATTAAATTTTTGAGGCAGAACTGACAGAACTTTCTCAGAAATTAAATATGGATGTTAAAAGAAAGTAACTAATATGGACGGCTAGATTCTGGGTGTGAGCACCTGGGTGGTTACACATCACTCACTGTGCTAGGGAAGCTGGGGAGAGGAAGAAGAGCTCCACTGGGGTGCAGCAGACTTGCAGGACCTCTGAGGTATCCAAGGAGGGTCAGGGCCAAAGACATATGTTAGAGAGTCACAGAACTTAAAGGGTTTCACAAAGGAATGGGGGTCAACTGTGAGAATCCTGCTGAGAGATTGAATAAGATCAGGACTAAAAAATGAACACGGGATTTGGCCGCATGGGGCTGCTGGTGACCTGGGTAACACAGAATTATGGAGTGGTTGGGACAACTGGAGAGAATGAGACATAAAGAGTGGAGATAGCAAGTGACAACCAGAGGGTGCTAGAGTTAAGGCTGAGGCTATTTCAGGTGACACCTCTGTTCTACCCGCAGACTGCACCCACCTCTTCTACCCTGCAAACACTCAGAAGGCTTCACTCCCTAAGTGCCCCACTCAGCACATCCGCAGGGCAGTGGAAACCCAGTTCTCACCCCTATGAGCCCCTGGGTAACCAGACAGGCAATGTCCTCCCTGGAACACTTCCTTTCTGAAAATCAAACCAAGCATGGAGATCAGTGACTAAATCATATTTCACTGGTGTTAACTTCTAGAATCTTCCAGTAGCATCTACACTTAACAGGGAGCCAAGATTTCACACACAGGAATACATTACCCTTGGTGAGATTCCAGACATGAGGGAGGGAACCCCTCAAACCACATGCTATCATCTACAACCAAGGAGACCCTCAGGAGTGGGGAGGCATCAGTTATCCAAGAGAGGGAACAAGGTTAAGAAAAGGAGGAAAGACATAGGTTGGTCAAAAGAAATGAGCTTAGGGGAGGAGGAGGATACAGCAGGCACTGGGGACCCAGACAGAATTACCTGGCCCTTAACACTCCCTCAGCTCAAGGTTACCCAGGGAAACCCCAAGAGTCAGGGTCTCTCAGGTCCCAGGGGGTGCAGGCACAACACCAGCTGGAGAATAACCAAGGGCACCAGAGGCTGAGACTTCCAGGTAGGAGGGAGGGTAACAGCAGAGTCTAGCCTGTGCCTGGCAGCTTTACCCTAGCCAGGTGACTTTTCATCTGCCCCCGGTAAGTGACCCACACAATGCCAGGCAGCTCTGGCCTTTCCCTGACATGCTGGACCCTGCCAGAAGCAGGAAGGGAAGAACAGGGGGAAGCCCATGCCTGTCCCTGGGCAGGGGAGAAGAGTCTGGGGAGGGTTCCCAGATCTCTACGACTGCATTTGCAGAGGTGCAAGTGAGAAGTCACCAGCTTGGCTGGACAGGGAGAAATACTGGGAAGGAGCTGGGGAAGACTGGACAATTCCTGCCATAGTAAAGCCAGGCGAGTGTACACACACAGACTGCAGACCTCTGACGCATAGCATGAGGAGGCATGCTGTGGGGTGCACACCATGTGCGAAGTGTGGTGATTGATAGGCACGTCTGTGGTGTGTCTAAAAGGATGGGGTGTGGCGTGAGGTAGTGGGGTGAGGCAGTGGCCAGCGTGTGCAGTCTGTGGGCCTGCGTGGAGTGTGTAAATCAGGTGGGCATCACAGCCCCCATGCTGTCTGTGGTCAGTGTCACTCAGGTCCTGTCAATAGTCCCCACCCTGGAGCCTGCAGATAGAGCTGCCTGCATCTGCCCTTACTGCCCCACACCCTCCCTAGCATGGGCACGCACAGGCACACATATGCACACAGACACGCACCCCGGAATTAGGCAAAAGAAAAAGTCTGAAAGAACAAAAGTAAACCATCCAGTCACGCTTCCCTGACCTCCCTGACTCAATGAAGGTTCCCCTTCCCCCCATTTCCCACCTTCCCTGCGAGGCTCCAGAATCCCAGCTCCCTTGCCATCAAGATGCCAAACCTGCCCCTAAGGAGTGGCTTTCTAGTCCATTCAGCCTACAAAGGCTTCGCCTCCTGTGTCAGGGCTCAAGGGCCCACCAGTCCTGTGGCTAGCACCCATACCCTGCCAGTCATCCTCCATCCATCTCGCCAGCTGACCACAGCATATCTGACCCCACTCACATGCCTATTAGCCGACTAATTTGTCCATTTGCCTATCTTCCTAAGGCTTATTAGGTCCATACGGATCATTTTATGGCTTTGAAAAGAGCCACAGGAAGAGGAAATAGGAAGCTATTTAGTAGAATCTATTTAATATTTAATAGAGCCTCAGCAGAGATATAGTAAGTTTGGTCACTGAAACCTCAGGCTCAAAGTTACAATTCCGGCTCTTAGCTAAGTGTCATCTTGGGTGAGTAATTTGAACTCTCAGAGCTCTTGTTCCTTACCTGCAATGACAAAATAACAATTATTACCAGGTTTGCTAAAAATCAGCTGAGATACTGTACAATGTGCAGCACGCAGCCATCTCTAAACATAAGCTAGAGCAAACGGCTTAAGGCAGAAAATATGATGAGAGGGCAGAGTGAAGGATGAAGGTCAGGTCCATGAGCAATGAATGGGCAGAAAGCTTGAAACTCTCTTTCCTAAATATGAAGATGTCTGGACTAACCTTGTGGAGTCAATGTGGATGATCAAAGCTCAGCAAATCTTGAGTCCCAGGACTTCTGAAAGACGTGGGTCCAGTTCCCTGTCTTTGTCTAACTGCCTAACTTTAAGCAAATTGCTTAATCTTTATGCTCATCAGTTCCCCTGCCTTTATAACCAAAGTTAATTTATTCATCTAACAAACATTTGACATGGCCCAAGGACTGTGATAATTACTCTGGTGATTAAACTCACCTCTAAGACAGGTAACAATTTGGTGGTTAAGAATACAGGCTCTGAAAAAAAAAAAAAAAAAAAAAGAATATAGGCTCTGTAGTTAGGCTGACCTGGATTTGAGCTCAAACTCTCTCACTTTACTAGATGTGTGACTTTGAGAGATTTATTTATACTATTAGTCTTTCATTTCCCTTGTTAAATGGAGAAAATAAAGGTTTCCATGATTGTGAAGATTCAATGTTTTAATGGATGTTAAGCCCTAAGCACAGTATCTGGTGGGAGACAGGTGTTTGGGGAACATTAGCTGCTGTTAAAACAGACATCCCCTGCCACCCTTCCCACCTCCCCACCAGGTCCTGTAGGATCTTACAGTGAATACTTTACTCTAGGAAGTGCTAGGACTAAACCACAAGCCACACGTCATGAGAGCATCAGTAAATGCACCTTTTTCATATGTTCAAAGGGCTGCTTGGTGCAAAGGGCTTAGAAATCTTACAAAATACTAAATATTTACCCAAAACCAATCTAATGATGGCTTTTCCTACAGACAGAGGAGGCCATACCTACAAAGGGCTACCTCAATAGACAGTAAGTTCCCCATCACTACAGATGTTCAAACAGATATCACACAGCACCTTCTAAAAGGCCATAGGTAAGATCCAAGTATTATCTCATGGAAATATCTGATCCTAAAAGTTGTGTTTAATCCTGAGCTGCCATATGTAACTATTTCCAAGCGTGAAGAGCCCCGAAAGCTACCACAGGGCAGTGAAACTTGACGAAGGCTTGAAGGATGAGGGGGATTTTCTTGTAATAGAATGAACAGAAACATTCTCTGCAGAGGGGACACTGTACCAATGCATGGGGGCCTGAGAGAACAGAAAGAGCTGGGATAGAGCAGCTGGTGTGGTTGATCAAAGTGGCCCAGATAAGAACAAAAGAATCAGGTCAGGTGCTGGAATCCCAAAGCATGATACAATTGGGCAGAATTATCACAACTAGTCATGTCATTGTGTGATACTCCAAAGCCCCGGCTCGTTGTGGTGGTCAGTAGGCACCATCTCCAGGCAGTCCCTGGTGCCACCCAGTCTCTTTTGAGCTGCAGCTTCAATCTAGGAATACAAAGGGTCTAGGTCACAGTCACTACTCCCTCCCTCTTCCTGGTGAGAGTCCCAAAGAACAGAGCTGGGGGCTTCCACACGTGGAAGCCAGGCTCTGGACACAGACCAGAGCATGAGGAACAGTGGGAAATGCATACCTTTAAAGAGTCTATGTTAGCCAGCCTGATGAAAGTATTTCAAATTATATATGAAAACACTACACTGTACCCCATGTTTGCATTAATGTATACAGCTATCATTTAATAAAAAAAAAAAAGAGAGAGAAAATAAAGAAACCCGGATTCAAGTCCCAGTCTGACGATACCCCAGACACTAGAGGACACTAATTCTGTCACTCAGTTTTGAGAGTCACTGTATGGAAAGTGCTTTACTGAACTACACAGATGCTGACTTTCTAAATATCTTCCTTTTCTTGGCTCTGCAGCGGGTTCTGGCCTAGAGTGATGGCTGAGGAGAACCACACTACTCTGCCCGAATTCCTCCTTCTGGGATTCTCTGACCTCAGGGCTCTGCAGGGCCCCCTGTTCTGGGTGGTGCTCCTGGTCTACCTGATCACCCTGCTGGGCAACTCCCTGATCATCCTCCTCACGCGGGCCAGCCCCACCCTGCACGCCCCCATGTACTTCTTCCTGCGCCAGCTCTCCGTGGTGGAGCTCCTCTACACCGCTGACATCATGCCTAGGACCCTGGCTGACCTCACCTCCTCCCACCCCCAGGCCATCTCCTTCCAGGGCTGTGTAGCCCAGATGTACACCTTCATTGTCCTGGGCATCTCGGAGTGCTGCCTGCTCACAGCCATGGCCTACGACCGGTATGCCGCCATCTGCCGGCCCCTACACTACTCCACCCTCATGAGCCAGAGGGCCTGTAGGGCCATGCTGGGCACCTCCTGGCTCCTGGGCATCATCACGGCCACCACCCATTGCTCCCTCATCTTCACTCTGCCTTTCCCCAGCCACCCAGTCATCCCGCACTTCCTCTGTGACATCCTGCCAGTACTGAGGCTGGCAAGTGCCGGGAAACACCAGAGCGAGATCTCGGTGATGACAGCCACCGTGGTCTTCATCATGGTCCCCTTCTCTCTGATTGTCACCTCTTACGCCCGCATCCTGGGTGCCGTTCTAGCAATGGCCTCCACCCAGAGTCGCCGCAAGGTCTTCTCCACCTGCTCCTCCCACCTGTTGGTGGTCTCCCTCTTCTTTGGAACAGCCAGCATCACCTACATACGGCCCCAAGCAGGCCCCTCTGCCACCACAGACCGCATTCTCAGTCTCTTCTACACAGTCATCACTCCCATGCTCAACCCCATCATCTATACCCTTCGGAACAAGGAGGTGATGGGGGCCCTGCAGCATGTGGTGAAGAGGCCAGTCCTCCTGCCCTAAAGGGACTCAGAGGATGTCTGCTAGCTCCCAGACTGCTCATTTTCCCAGCCTACAGAGCTGGACTTAAACCTCAACCTAAAAGAAACCAAGGCAGCACCTCAAAGAAAGGGCTTCCTGGAAGTGCTGGGATTAAAACAGAAATAACTCTATATCTTGCCTTCTGTTCCACACCACAGACTCACTGTCAAGCACGGCTTATAAGAGAAGGAATTGCTGCTTTGGGGGAAGAGCATTTGGCATCTTCTAGGTTGCTCTGGATCCCTGAGCATGGTGATTGCCATAGCTGCACTGGCAGCCAGGGGTCTGTCAGTCTAGGAGGTTGACATACAACTAAGTGACCCACCCAGGGTCTACAGAGGAGTGTACACATTCAGTTTCCTTTTCTTGCACCTGTGTCTGAGTCTTACTCTAGCCAGTGGTACATCAGCTCTGCTCTTAGCCTTCAGGAACAGGAGTGTCTGAGGGTTCTAGTCATAAGGCTCTCTCCTTCTCCTTCCCAAGACAACAGCACAAAGGGGAAGATGGGTCAGTCAGTATCAAGAAGGATTGGGGTTAGACATCAACAAAACGTTCTGGGGAAACAGCCTATGACATGTCTCTCAGAAACACATTGGAGTCTCATGCTCTGGATGCCTTAGGAGAGTGGATTCCAGAAGATCCACCAGGTTGAGAGGCCAGATCCAGAGCTGGAGCCAACCAGAAGCAGAAAACCGTACACACTCTCACCCCTCTCATGCTGAGATGCCAGGGTCTGCCCACCTCCCCACAGGCCATGGATGAGGGTCTCTACCTCTTTATTTCCCTGAGGGTCTTCTACACCTAGAGAGCAGAGGAAAGTGGATGAGAAAGTCCAGACTACCCCAGGTAATACCCTTCTGGTTCCTCAGACTCACATTCCATTACTACCTCGATGGTCTCCAGACCAGAACCTCCAGAACCTCTGCCCCTCACTAAAGAGCCACAGCCCTCCAGCATTTCATCAATAAAATGAGCTGTTCAGGAAGTAATGGGAACCGATCTTCCCTCCCACCCCCTCTGATCTTCAAGAAGTCCTTATCCCTCATGGAGACATTGCTCTTGTGCTAAAGAGTAACTCAACCCCAGGAACCAATGTGTTCCTCTATAACTTAGCCTCTGTACCCCTTCCAAAGCTCACTTACCACCGATCTCCCCACTGCCGGCCAGGCTTTTTATATCTCTGTGCCTTTTTACAAGCTCTTCTGCTGGAAATTCCCCATGTACATCTTACCCAACATGTTCATCTGTCAAGCTCCTATTCATCCAGCAAGACCCAACTTGAGAAATTCCTCAAAATGTGTTATCCCAAACACACCTCCTTTATGCCACTATTAGAAAACTTTTTGCAATAAATTATAATTATTTTTCATATTTCCTCATCCACTTCTAAGTTGTTTGAAACCTGAACAGGGAAAGAATAGTTAAGTACCCATTGCTACCCAGACAGCTTAGCAAATGTTGATTTATTTAATGAGTCACCCAAGTACAATCATGCTCGTAGTCATTTTATAAACTCTAAAGTGCTATATAAAATTCTGTTTATTAAACTATCAAAGCCCATGTTCTGACTCCCAGTGTTTGGAAATGCCAGCCCAGCATGGAGCCAACAAAATCACTGAGCTTGCTTCCCTTGAGTCACCTGACTTCTCTTCTCTGCCCTCTCCCCACTTGACTTCTGGCATCATAACTGGTGACAATATGTCTGACTAGACAAGAGGATTTCCCTGGTGCCACTGCTCTCCTCCCAGCCTGTACAAGCAGCTTTACCCTGCACTGCCTTCCCCAGCCTGGGCAAGGCCCTGAGATCATCTGGGTAGCCCTGGGGAGTAGACATTCAGCACTCACTGTGGCCACCTGGCATTTGACCCTCTTTCAATGTTTGGGAAATTCTCTTTAGAAGGGTGGTGGGAAGAAAGACCTTCCTAAACTCCCAGGCATGTGATCTGGTTCCACCCATCAGATGCTCTCATACCTGACCTTGACTGACTAGCTGGTACCCACAAGTGGCAAAAAGCACCCACGTCCTTGGGCAGCAGCAAAGGCTACAGCCACAACTGCTAGCCTAGAAATGGCATTTGGTCCTTAGTGACAGTACCAGTGGTTCCCTCAACTTATTAATTTGTGTTTAGGAGTTACTCTTAGAAGCTCAGCCTCTGGCATGTCCTCCAACTCTGTGACCTACCCTATATTTGTCAATAAATTATTTTTAGGCTTCATCATCCAGGCAGCTTCTGGAGATGTGGAAACAGCAGGCAGCAGGCAGCAGAGGACCTTTACCTAGTGTAACAGGAATGCAGTGGTCTGGGCCCCATGTAGAGAAAGCAGCTAAAGGGAACTTTGGGTCAGAGAATGTTCTCAGAAAAACAAGACAGAATCAGGAGGCCAGAAACATATAATTAAAATATGTAAATGTGGGCAGGGCAAGGTGGCTCATGTCTATAACTCCAGAACTTTGGATCACTGGAGGCCAGAAGTTCAAGACCATCATGGGCAACACAGCAATACCCATTCTCTACCAAATATATATATGTGTGTGTGTGTATATATATACATATATATATGCTGGGCAGCACACACCTGCAGTCCCAGCTATTTCAAAGTGAGGTGAGAAGATCACGTGAGCCCAGGAGCTCAAGGCTGCAGTGAGCTATGATCATCCCATTGCAGTACAGTCTGGGCAACAGAAAAAGACCCTCTTCCCGAAAACAGGGTATGTGAACGGGTAGCAGAGCTTAATGATTGAAAGCAAACTGGGGCTGGAAGGCTTCCTAAAACAAGTAGCTCAATGATGTAGTGTTTCCTCACACAATGGCCCATGCAGAAAGGGCTAATATTTGAATGATACACCAGGACAAACTGAAAGAGATTTCAAGGTATTTAAATAAGGCAAACCAAAAAAAAAAAATACTTTTTACTATATAATTACAATAAAAATAAAATATACAGTAATGGAGAAGTCTTTAAATACCTGTTTCACATAAACTTTCCAAACAGCTTAACTCTGTGATCATAATTTTTATATTAGATTCTATGTTTGAAAAATGGCTAAACACCTGATCAAGCTTAGGACTGATTTGTTAAAATGACTGATGATCACTGATACAGATTGGATGTTGGGCCCCTCCAAACCTCTTGTTGAAATTTGATCCTCGGCTCGGCGCCTATAGCTCAACCGGCTAAGGCGCCAGCCACATACACCGAAGGTGGCGGGTTCGAATCCCCAGCCCGGACCCGCCAAACAACAATGACGGCTGCAACCAAAAAATAGCCGGGCGTTGTGGCGGGCGCCTGTGGTCCCAGCTACTTGGGAGGCGGAGGCAGGAGACTCGCTTGAGCCCAGGAGTTGGAGGTTGCTGTGAGCTGTGATGCCATGGGACTCTACCCAGGGGGACAGCTTGAGGCTCTGTCTCAAAAAAAAAAAAAAAAGAAATTTGATCCTCAGTGAGGTGGGACTTGGTCAGAAGTGTTTGGGTCCTAGGCCCATCCCTCACGCATTCTTTGGGGCCCTCCCTTCCATCCTCACTCTATTTGTTCACACAAGAACTGGCTGGTTTTTCTTTTTGTTTTGTTTTAGACAGAATCTTGCTCTGTCTGTCACCCCAACTAGAGTGCAATGGTGTGATCATAGCTCACAGCAACCTCAACCTCCTGGGCTCAAGCTATCCCCTGCCTCAGCCTCCCAAGTAGCTGGGACTACAGATGCCCACCATTATATTTAGGAGAGATGGGGTCTCGCTCTTGTTCAGGCTGGTCTTGAACTCCTGAGCTCAAGCAATCTTCAGGCCCTGGCCTCCCAGAGTGCTGGGATTCTAGGCATGAGCCACCACTCTCAACTCACCCTGGTTTAATTATTATGCAATGTGTACAGGTATTGAAACATCACACTGTGCCCCATATATTCTATGTCAATTAATAAAATAAGTCTAATACTTCCCCACATTTGCCACCACTCCCAGTCACAGGCAGAGATTGTGTACAAACTGCAGGTCACTCCAAGCAGGGGGGTTACCTTTCAAATGAGAAAAGAGCATATGCAGGTGAAGGCAGGTCAGCCTGGGAAAAAAAGGCAAAAAGGCAAAAGGGCAAAAATGCTCTCTACAGTATCATCAGTAAGGTCACTCTTCCACCACGAAGAAGCAAGTGAGAAGCCAGAGAGCAAGGCAGGAAGTGTTTCTGTCTTTTCTACCTTCAGAAGTAGAATTTGGCTCAGCACCTGTGGCTCAAGTGGCTAAGGCGCCAGCCACATACACCTAAGGTGGCGGGTTCGAATCCAGCCCAGGCCGGCCAAACAACAATGATGGCTGCAACGAAAAAATAGCTGGGCGTTGTGGTGGGTGCCTGTGGTCCCAGCTACTTGGGAGGCTGAGGCAGGAGACTCGCTTGAGCCCAGGAGTTGGAGGTTGGAGGTTGCTGTGAGCTGTGATGCCATGGCACTCTACCAGGGGGACAGCTTGAGGCTCTGTCTCAAAAAAAAAAAAAAAAAGAAGTAGAATTTAAAAAATCCTTTCACTTTGTGGAAAACCTGAGGATCCAGGTACTTAGCCACACTTCCCCTCCACCCAGTACAGATCTGGAAGGATGTTGTAGGTCATTTGAGAACCTGGGGGCTCATCTTGAATGACAAGACTGGTTTTTTAAAGGTCGTTCTAGAATAGATAATCAAGGCAGAAAGAAGAGACACGGAGACCACCAAGCAATTTATCAGTTAGGGCACTTTGTGGCAAATGAGCGATCATTCAGAGGTAAACAGTGCACCATGTCCCCAGGGGTCAGGGAGCCAAGTCCTCCTGCTGCACAGCTAGGGATGACACTCAGCCCCCACAAGGACAGCTCCAGTGTCAACACCACGACACTGCAGCACAGTTCACACTGCACTGCCTCACACCTACAGATGGCCCTGAGGACTGATGCCTGAGCTCTGCCACAGCTTCCCCCAGGAGCCAGATACCTCCTGCAGAAGCTCACCAGATGGTCAATTCTGTCCCCTCCTCTGTCACC